AATTCTTTTTACAGCTGCATGGAACTGCATTAGTGAATAAACTCATGCAGTTTTTGGTTATTATTCAAAATAATTAAGAACAATGCATTTAAGAAAAAGTGCAAAATTCAAAGTGAAACTTTAAAATATTTCAGACTAATTTCCCCCAGTACATTGTAATTACGCTTGATGCCCAGGCTTATGTCAAAACAACATAATGAAATAGTAAACAAAATAAATAGAAGAATAATTAAAAGTTTTACAGGCACATCCAGGGTCCTTTCCATCAGTGGATGAAGCAATTCATTGTTACCTGAGCTAATAAATTCCAATTGTGTCTGGCTCTCTAACAGTTACAGAATAATACATAGTGAAATGGTATTTGTGCTGAAAATGAATATTTTTATACTTTGCATGAAAATAACTCAGAACTATTGCAAATTACTTTTCTTTTAATCAACGAAGTGAACAATTGACTAATTTATGGCAGCTCTGCCATACAAATGTTTAATAATCTATCAATGTAATATCAATCTGTTATCTTTTAACAGCTTTTCAAAAGGAGTTATTCTTTTGGTTTAAAAAAAGATTAAGTGTACAAGATCGGGCAACAAAAAAACAGCACGAGTACATACTGGAAAGTATAATCTGGATCTTTGTTAGTTCAATAGAGAGAAAATAGAGAAGGTTTTTTTTAATCAAATTGATTAGATTTATCTCCAAAGGACAGACTTCCAAAAAATACAGAAAGAAGAAAAAAATAGCATTTGGAATAGAAAGAAGGGAGGTTTTTAAGAACTAACAAATTTAACACGACTTTTCTTTTTGTATTTTTTTATTAACGTGAGAACAATACGCATACTGTCCAAACCTGGCAACCCAGAATCCACGTCGTCATTTCCGAAGTCGAAGAATAGGGTACGCTCGTTGTGTTACCTTGCACCGCCCGCCAGCCTCTTTAACAGCCATACACATGTGCTGTCATGATCGGGCACACATCGAGCGGCGAAATAACTTTAAAGCAGATGTTTAAAAAGCTGTAAGTGTGGTGCTGTGAGTGAGCGAGGTAAAGGAGGGGACCTTTGGGTACACCATTACCGATAGATAGTAATCCAGAGCGAGGGGAGCGGAGTAGCTCACTACACCAAAATGGCAACCCCCTATGTGACAGATGAATCTGGTAAGGCTGATGCATGTGCCAGACCTTTGTCTCAAAGAAAATGTATCTTACATTTTAAATCTTACAGCTACAGGGGAGAGATAGCCCGTCTTTCGCCTTTGCAGCATTCATCGTTTATAGTTCCCCGACACCGCCAACTGACGGTTTTCTATGTTGCAGCTAGCTAATGCTAGTAACTAAAAATGGCTAAGTCTTCCGTAAAGCTAGTTAGCGTGTTGCTAAACACTCCAGGCGCACTTTATTAGTTATTAGAGTTAAATCACCGTTTAACATAACGCTTATAGGTGTCAGACACACATTTCCATGGTGCTTAGGAAAACATCTGGATATTTGACTTTAAATTCCGTGTAGAGGGATAATCTGTTAGTGGCCGCAACAGCTAGAGCTAACGCTGCTGATGCCGTGAATTAAGCTGATGTTGTCTTAGACTGTCACTGTATTAAGTCCGTTTAGAGGCTGTAATT